CCCCAAAACCCTAAACCGCCCGATTCTAAGCCGACCCGAACTTTCTACCTGCGTGCACGGTTTAGCGTTTAGAGTGCTACAAACACGACGTCACTGAACCGCCAAAATTACAACGCTAGACCCCGAACTTGTTTGCCCCTAAAGCCCAAAACCCCAATATCTGCGTAGAAACATGAGGCCTCTGCAGCAGCCTCTAGCCGCTGACACCCTCCCAAACCACCTTCCAAAATGTCCTCAACACCTAGTCTAAACCCGAAGCCCTATAGAACCTGGCCCTTAACCCTAAACCCTAGAAGCCCTAAGCCCTACTCGGAAGGGTCACGCCAAAACAAGTCACCTTGTTGCCAGCAACGAACCGTTGCGAGAAGGTCGTGTACGCGGGTACCCTCCCTGCGATGCAATGAGTTAAGCTCGGCTGCGTAGATGGCTGTGAAAGCGTGTGGGGGGACAAGGTCCGAGAGATGCAACCCCGAACTGAGGGCTTGACGCTCGGCCTCAGACATATAAGCTCGCGGGATGCAGCCAAGGCTCGCCGAGCATCAAAGGGACTGAGGCCGTCTTCGGGTACCACCCGGCGGCGCGTCCACGGTCCCAAGAACGGGAACTGAAAGCCCCCGAGGCCCTGACGGCATCTTCTGCAGTCAGCCTTGGTACACACGAAGCGCCGCAAAGGAACCGTGACATCACCAAACCGCAATTCCAGTAGCGGGACATCGGACACTGGTAAATGTGTGATCTCGCACACCTGGTTCCAGATAGACCAATAGGCTGATCGGCGGCCTGCGCGGTCGAGCTCGACCATGTGCACCTGGAAGTCAGCCGAATTCTCGGCTGACAACAACGGCTGAAGAGTGTGGGTGACGACAACCTCAACCTCGGCATCACCCATCACAATAACAGAGGGGTACCTCCCCCAGAAAAGAAAACTCTAAGCCTTTCTGGATCGAGAACTTGAGCCACAATGGCACACGTGTGCTCAAGGTCAGCTTGCAATGAAGACTGCTCACCCATGCCTACCAAACACAAAGCAGTTTTAGTAAGGGTCTGGTTGGACTGGTGGTTGCCTTGGTGCGAGGCCGAAGGCAGAAATCGCGCCCAAACGTGAGTGAGGGATCTCGCCGGCTCTGCCCTGTTGTTACGCCGCTGTAAACGGGATCTTCCCTTCGGAGCCCTTGGCCCTTGTTGTTCAGCTTCAGCCCAGGTCTTGAAGCTTCCTTTACCGAGGGCCGTGCACCTTGGCTTTCTGCTTGCTGTCGAACAATCTTTCCAGAGCCTGCATTTGTGTCCAGCCCACGGCCAACTCTCTAATCATGTCTGAAAGCTTCTGTCAAAGCCTTTGGCGAACCTACAAGTACCTTCTTTTTCATTGAAAGCTCATGCACGGGCACAGGACTCGGGCCTCCATCCGAACCTCCGCGAGCAGCTTTTCTATGGAGCGGCGCCGGCCGGTTTTCGCATCCTCTCTTGGGCCCGCAGCATCACTCGAGGCTCGACATGCAGTCTTCACACTTTTCGGCCATTGGATCTCCTGCTTTGTGCTTTGGATCGCAGACTCCAGCTTCGAGATGTCGTCCTCCCTGCAAGCACACGTAGGATCTACAACCGGCATGGTTGCAGATGCACAAACAGCTGGTCTCGCAATGACGTCACACGTCCGCAACAAGCGTGCAGAACACATGCTGTGACAACAGCAGCTTCGGCAATTTCAGCTTGAGAGTCTGTGGGTACAGTAGCCCACAGGCATGCACAGAACCACGGCTGCCACAAGCCAAGGCCGGCAAACATGTCCACCAGCAAATACGGCGATCCGTGAAGAACTTGGACCCCGGTTCATGGCTTATCAGTCCTGCTGGCAACTGTCAGTTGCGCGATCTGGGAGAGCATGTCCTGAAATTTGAGAAGCAAAAGGCTGAGGTGTACATCATGAAAGCAATCGGGAAGGCAGTCAGTTAGAGCCAAGTTCTGCCAACCCGGCAGCCAAGAGTCTCTGGCGCTGACTGCCGTCTCCAAAGACTGGGAAACGGTCTCCGTGCTGATACCAGATCGCTGGGCGACGACAAGCGCTTCCCTTAGAAAGTGTACAGTAATAATCTGCTTTTGTCTTGTCCATGTGAAATCGCAAGACAACTGGGCGATTCACACAGCTGCGGTCCAAGTGTGGTGCTAAAGATGACAGCAAGGTGCTGGAGGCACTCCTTGGCACCGTTCGTGCGCGCAGCCAGAACCGCCCAGCGTCCCAGGTTGCGGGAGCGGATCGGCCCATAGGCAGCTTCGACTCTCCTGAGCCCCAAGACGACATTCACGTGCCCGCAAGATAGGATTCCAGCCGAGGCTTGGCTTCTTGAGACCAAAACCAGCAGAGGAGCCCCGAACAAACGCTAAAGCTACTACAAGCTGGAGCTGTAGGAGGCAAATTCCTGAATCAGAAGATAAGTCTTGAGACAAGCACTCTTACAAACGATCAAACAGTAAAGCCGGAATTTTAAGCCTTCGAACACAGTACCCGTCTTACTTTGCCACCGGGTGTCTGAAGCATTTCACAGCGAGCTGGATCCAAAACAGCCTCCTCCGACTTCCACAGTGCTTCCCTGAAAGCAGGTCCAGTTCCCTTAGACACAAACGTCCACAAACGACAAGTGACAACCTCTCCCGATTGCATCTACACTGAAGTACTTGTGCAAACCGGGAAACGATGTCGAGTGCAGATTGCAGAGCCGCAGTCGCACTGCTCAGCTTGTCCATGCGCTGCCTGACGAATGTCAGGTCACTCGTGATGGCGGTAACCTTCTCACAGCACGAGGCCGCCAAGCCAAGGCACACAAGCTCTGCACCCTCTGGGTGGTCTGTGAGCTGGGCTCTTGATGCCCAAGGCCGCAGTGTCTTCAGTTGTTCCAGATCTTGCGAGTCAACCACCTCATGATCCATGTAGGATGTTACGGTAGGGTCTTGGGAACCTAGAACGGGAATTCCAGGACCCTTGGCTGTGAGGTCTTTATGCTGGCGTGCACTTTCGGGCCCCTATCACAATCTACATGCAGCCCCGCAAAGTTTGATGAAGCAAAGCCGCCTCCTGCAATCTGTCAACCATCCTCAGTCACACAAGGTTGCAAGTTCGAAATACTAGCAGTGAGCCCTGAACTACGACAGATGCAACACTTGGCTGATCTGCACGAGCGATGCCAACAAGGCACCCGGTCTGCCATTGGTTGAGCAACTTTCGAGTCAGCGAAGCAAGCTTCTTGGCTCTTGTCAACTGCGCGCCCTTTAACCTGAGCGGCAGCACCCCTCTTACAGCAACATGGGTGATTACGTGGTTTCTGCACCTCGCATTTTCTTGCATTTACTTCTCAGAAACTTGCGGAATGTGAAAGACACCATAGTTCCCACGAACATTTAATTTGTGTATTTCCGTGTTGCGAGTCTACCGATGTGTTCTATTTTTCGTGTGAATCTCGGTTAGCCATTCTCCACCTCACTCTTGCAGATTTCGGCAAGTGATAGCCGCAGCATCTAGTGACCTAGTGTCTAGACCATGCGAAGCGAAGTTGGGGTGCTAGGTTTAGGCTGCGCTCTGCAATGGTTGCTCGCTTATGTTGACAGTAGCAGTACCGCGTTGATGCAGGCACCTGTCCGTGGCCGTTTCGCCGGCTTCCACAGCTGCATCCAGGGCCGGCCATCCTCTCGTCAACAGATGTCAAAAGCACGGATTAGGACAGCCAGTCACCCGATGTCACGCCGCAGTGGGATTCTGATCCGCCAGGAGGCTGCGCTCATCGTAGGCTGCAAGGCGCAGCGCGCTTTGAATGCGCCGGGTGGCGAAGCCCTCGAAGTTGCAGGCTTCACGGACTTGAAGCCTTCGGGAACCACAACCAATTTCCGGATCTATGAGAGTGACTGTGCAAAAACCTCACTTGTTTCTGCCATTTGCCAGAGAAACGCGCAGCCTCAGCCTGCATCTGTAAAGCCTGTGAGCACTCTGTATCGCAGGCCTCTGCCAGCGGCAAGAACCTAGTCAAGCCCTTTGGGCAGAGAAGCCGTCGATCAGGCACAGAAATCCTTGACTGCACTCGGCAGTCACAGGGAGCAGATTGCCCACATTCAGTGTCAAAGCAAATCAATTTCTGGGGACTGTCCTCGGCTCAATGCCAGGGTGAGATCATTTACACGTGCTTGCAAACGTGACAGCTCTTCTTCTCCTTTGCGGTACCTTTCTTGCGCCTCAACTAGTTCAGTGCGGAGCCGAGCGTTTTCCTGCACCACGTTCGGACCGTCTGCACTTGCTTCAATTTCTTCCATCAGGCGAACCCTGTCGTTTGCAAGCTTGGAAACTTGCCGGCAGATTGGCCACACAAGTGGGAGCCGCTCTTGCACGGCAAGCAGCTGACCGGTGGGCTCAGAGAGCCCGCTGAGGCCACTGTTCGACCCTGGAGTCCCTGCGCTGAAATCGTCGAGTGCACCGAGCAAAGCATACTGCAAGCTGTCTGCCAGGCTTTTCTCATCCGGAAACTCTGGACGCTCCGTCAAGCCTTGAAAATGGCTTCTCACAAGCTGCGCCGGAGCATCGCAAACTGAGATGCGGTCGATGGTCAAGGGATCCATGGATTTGCCGCGACACGACGAGATCTCTGACAAGAGCTGAAGACAGCAAGCGAGCGCCTCGGAAAGAGCCCCCTGGGGGCCCCCGGGGCCGCTTTCCGCTCCCTGAGGAGCCTCAGACTGAACCAAGGGCGCTTCAGACTCGGTTCCGACTTTCTCTACAGACCGCTTTTCCAGCAAACCTCCCAGTTGAAGGTCTTGGAAACGCTGCTGACCATAACTTGCAGCTTGCAGCTCCTTTTCATGTCGCCGTTCTTGCTCCGTCTGCTTTTGTAGCGCCATCTTCGCTCGCAATGCGGGATTATGGTACTTGAACTGCAACCGCAGCTTTGGATACTCGGGTTTCGCCAGAAGGTGAATCACTGCCTGCGCAAACATCATCTCAGGCGCATGGGTCTCCAAGTTCTGGTTTGCAGGGAGAAGACCCAACCACGTGTCCCACTCGTGTGGTGGTTGCAGAAGGTTCTTGCTAATCACGGCCAGGGGCAGAATCATGTGCCACAAAAGTGCTGCACCCTCGGGCAGTCTGCGCCGCACATGCAGCTTTAGGTTGAGCTGCAGGGGGCAATCCATGAGATCAATGCCAGTCGCTTTGACTAGCGTGGCGCACTCAAAGAGTGCACACCCCTCGGATGTAGCCAACTCGCTGAACAGCTCATCTACTGGCGCTAACTCGGGAAAGTGCTTTGCATCGGCAATGGAGACATTCAGAAAAGTCGCCTCGTCCAGCTCCATGGACCCTGGGAATCTGCGTCTAGAAAAACGTTGTTGTCTAGGTGGATAACAAGGTGCTTGGACAGGGACTTCCTGCTGCTCTCTATAAACCCTCAGCTGTTGAAAGAAGGATCCCTGGCGGCTGCGGCTGGCACAATCAGCGAAACACAGCAGTCCCGCATCCCGACGTACATGTAGGAATGACGTGCGCCGCCTCTTCTGAACCACCTGGAGCTGTTGTTTCGCGGCGCTCAGTCCCTCAACATCGTCTGCGATGTCGGAAGCTACCTTGGTCCATGAGAAAAAGGCAAAGCCTCCCCGAATGGAGTTCGACGAACTTGCCAAGCATCCAAGTCATTGATCAGTCGGCTTCGTTCTGCGAAGTTTGCCTCACATTATTGAGACTGCACGCATCTCACAACTGCCACATATACTCAAATAATTCCATCCCAGCGGCAGTCTTGCATGCAGCCTCAAGATACCGAGAAGCTTGCTGCTGCCGAAGCGTTGGGGTTCCTTCCAGCCTAGGAAGCAAGAGAGGACTGGGCAGAGGCAAAGGCTTCGTGCAAAGGTCGCGATTTGCATCGAAGAAAATGTTTTCTGCTTACGCTGCCGGCACAAGTGGCCTCAAGGAGGCTGTCGCATTGGTGGACTTCCGAAGTGGCGAGCAAGGCAACGAGCTGGATCGGAGGGGCGAGGAGTCCTCAGCGATAATCCCGGAATCTGCTCCAACACACCCGGCACACAAGATAGCCGTGCTCCCGTACCGAGTGACTCCATCATAGGTTGACTGCAACGATGTCGGCGAGCCCAACGGTAGTCTGGGACTTGGAGCAAAGGCACCTTGAGACGCAGTGCGACGCAGTTTCACAGTGAAGCACCATGTCTGAAACCTACCCGTGGCTGGGGAGTGGGTGACGTGAAAGCTTGCACGTAGTCTACTACTACAATGTGATCTCCGAACGTGTGTGACAGTGTAGATCCCAAAACAGTCTGAAGGACAATCGAGCCCAAGGCACACTCGGCCATAGCGCGGACGACGCCCGAAAGCACGACGGCTCTAACTCAGGATGCAGCCTTAACCTCAATCCCAGTCCAAGATGCCAACGTCCCGGCATCTGCCGTGCTGGAAGACGATTCTGAATTCTGAATGTATCGCTGCTGATGTTGCTTGAATGCTGCAAGGCAAATTTTGCAGCAAGCGGAAAATCACAGCCTTACTTCGCGGTCTCCACAGGGCAACTTCTACGACTCCGTTGTCCCATATTGTTCCGAACGTAAAAGGACCGGCACTTGATGAAGAAAGACTAGTGGCTAGTGACAGTCATGTCAAACAGTTGGCCGAAACTGAGCCGGGAAGAGCCTCAAGAGTTTTCGTCCTACGAACTTCTCTCTCGGTCTCGGGCCTTCAGGGCTTCTTCTCACCTCCTGCGCCTACCAATCCACAAAGCCATAATGCAGACAGGGGGAGAGAGGCAGCCAGAGTACTTGAAGTGGCTGTCACCATGCAAAACACTGCGCAGAAATAGCTCGGCTATGAATCCATCCGATCTTAGATGGTCCGATGTTAGTGTGGCAGGCCGTACCTCTTCTTGCACTGCAGCACCGAGAAGCAATAAACAGAAGCTGTCTTTGCACTTCTGCATGAAACACTGCATCGAACCGAATCGAACAGTGGAACCATTATCCACGATTATCGGATTATCCAAAGCCCTGGTCGTCAGGGAGACACTGCCTCGGACAGTCATGGAAGCGGGCTGCTCACAACTGATATGTTGTGTTATATTTAACTTGTACTGGGTCAGTTTATATTATGTTGCGTTATGCTATTTTGCAATAAGCTACACTACCTCATATCATACTAGAGCACATCTATATATATATATGTACATACATACCTTTATCAGTCATATTTCTAGTCTGACCTATCCTGTTCTGTTACGTTGTCTTATGCTATACTAGATTATGCTATATTATACTATGTTATATTATGCTATACATACTATATTATATGATGCTATAGTAGAGTACAGTATATTATCGCACAGTAAAGTATATTATGCGCTTATGTATATGTATGTAAAATCGTTGTGTATTTGCACATATGCGTGTATGTAAATACTATGTAGATAGATAGACAGATAGATAGATAGATAGGTAGGTAGATAGGTACATAGATAGATCGATCGATCGATGGATGGATGGATGGATGGATGGATGGATGGATGGATATGTATATATATATATATACTTATATTTGTATGTGTATACTCTGTGTGTGTGCGTGTGTATGTCGTCTGTGTGTGTTCTGTCTTGTCCCACTGACTGAGTTGTCTTCTGAGCCCAGGATTGCACTCCAAACAAGACTACCTAAGAAGACTTAGCAGAAGGGAAGTGCCGAGAACCGACTCGGCCCATGACACCCAAACCGGGAAGTAGACAAGGGATGTCGTGTTCCGCGCCTTGCACACAGCACTTTGCGCCCATCAATACACCTGTGCTTCTCTGCTGGATCTTCCACCGAAAGATCAGAGCATGACCCAAAGCCAAATCCATCGGGGCACATCACCGGCTCCACCTGCCATCAGGCCGTCACTGCACGAATTACTAACTGGGGCAGTTGAAGTCAGCGTTGCTTTGTAGGAGTGGGGGCGGTGTGCCTGATTGCTGTACCAGATCACCCAACACTCCGGCCACAACAGCACCGACACCTGCACCACATCCTGGCTCACATGCGCGTCAACTTTACTGAAGTATGGCGGTCTCCATGCCGCTCGGACATTGCACCGAGCGGCCATGTCGATAAGAGAAGCTTCCAGATGTCACGAATCCGACCAATGGCCGGATGGCGGCCACCTGCCCGGTCTGTGCTGGGCCCACTGAAGCAGGTAAGCAGGGCATGTCTTGCACGCTTCGCCTCGGCTTTCCTAGTCTCCACTCCCTCGGCTCGCCGTCTTCTCAAGCGATACACAGTGTGCCGCGGCTCCTTGCAGTGACAGGCGACAAGAGAACATGAACGATAACCAAAACCATTCCAGGGAAGTGCCATACAACAACGCAGCTCGCATGATTTTTGGTGGATCTTCGCGGCTTCGCTGGCTTTGCACTGCTTCGCAATGCTTCGCATGATTGCGCAGCCTGTGCCTATGCCATCAGAACAGGTGTATGCGGCACGGAGCGACTGCCAAGCCGCCCTGACCCTTGGAGGATAGCTCGGCTCAAGCACATGCCCAAGGATCTGTGAAGATCACGGACCTTCTCAGAAGTCTCCTTCGGCTCTTCGGCCATTGCCTCAGGCTCTGTGCCCTCTTTGCACTTACCCTGCTGCGCTGCAGTCGTCTTCGCTTTTTCAGAAACACACGGGTGCAAGCCCAGGTGCCACATTGGCAATCCGCATGAGTGCAAGAACCTCCTCTGTCTCGAATGGGCACGGATCCTCTTCAAGCACCCCAGACAGTTCCTCCTCGGGCACAGGAGATCCACTTCAAACTTCAAGATCAAGCAGCGCCCGTTTCTTCCCGGCGCCTGCAACACCTGAAGCTGCACGGCAGCCGAAGCAAAACCATGGGATAGCCTCAGGCAGCTGGCGGCTTCGTCAGAGGCTTCTGACCAGGATCCTAAAATCAGCACATCCGGCAGCAGAGCAACAACTTCACCAGAACAGGCGCCCAGGACGCAGTCGGCCTGCCAGCCACGTGCAAGGCATGGCAGCGGGCATACCTCGTGCAGACAGATGCCAAGCTGTTCTGACCGGCTCTGAAGCATGCTGACGACTATCGCTTGCACCGGCACAAACCACGAAGCATCTGACAAACGCCAAGCTGCTGGATGAAGAAGTAAAGGCGAGCGGAAGCTGGAAGCGTTGGCAAAGGTGCTGGGGCACCAGGCGGGGCCATCGCGGCTAATAACGCAGGAGAGGGACAGTCGTCGAAGGATTCTTCCAGGTTTGCTGGAGCAAGAGCCTCAAGGAGAGCAAACATGCCGTTCTCGACAATGCCATCACAGAAGTCTGAGATATCAGCTGCTCCTTTATCCAGCTTGTCCACACAAATCTCCTCTTGCTCCAAGCTGGGAATGCCCACAACTGCCCAACATGCCCAGGACAAAGCACCCAGCAAGTCACCGGAATTCTGGAGAAGTCGTGCACGCTGCCAGCAATGTTGACGACCCAGTTCACCCAACTCCAAGTCATCCAAAACTGACAATGCTTCCCACATAGACTTGTTGTCACCGACCGCACTAGCACAGTACTTGTCAGCCATGACCTGTAAGCATCGTGCAACTTGACTAGCACCGCCCGCTCGCAAGTAGTTCAGAGCGCAACGTAGCTGCTGCGGTGGCTGGCACAGATCCGCAGCATACGCTATGAGATGCCAGTCCCGCGGTGCAAGATTAGTGTCTGGCTCGGCAGACAGTGACAGCCGCCCTGCATAATACAGCAAATCCACTAAATGCACCACGAAATACTGAGGAAACTTATCCGGCATGGAGGTAAGTAGCTCCAGCAAGGCCGTCACGTCACACTTCACGGCTGCGACGAAAGCTCTGTCTACATTGTCGATGCTTTCGTCCTGTCGACGTCGGGCAACTGCCTGAAGCAAGTCTCCGAGCTCGGCACGGCGCAGGTCCGGGAATACCCATGCATGGCTGAACACGAAATCCTCAATCCAGCTCCGGCTATATTTCCAGGATATGTCCCTGTTTGCTTCGAAGTCAACCTGGCTCGACCTCATGTAAACTTCCAAAAGCTGCCGCAAAGGATGCTTCTCTGGGAGCTGGCACGCGATGCCTTGTGCTGCATCCTGCATTTCCACTATGGCCTGGCCAAATTCGACGGCACTCGCCCCAGCGAGTTCCATCTCTCGCATAGAAGGGAACTTTGAAAGAAAGTCGCAGAACAGAATCACGTGGCTGTCCCGTCTTGCAGAGCTCCCCTTCAGCAATTGGACGACTTCGCTCTTTCGGTCAGCAAGCGCCAACCGGCAGATCGGTTCCCAAAAAGGGGAATCCTCACACAGGACATCATCTGACGACGCATCTTGCGCGCCTTGGTACCAATCAGAAACGTCCTCTTCACCTTGGCTCCCGAGACAACTTCGTGCTGAAACTCTCTGCTGAGATGGCAGGCTGCATTCTGGCACACTGGGCTCAGGACCTTCCAGATAGTGCCGACAGTACCACCGCAAGAGCCCAGGTGCAGTTGGAGCATAACGACGAAGGGCCGTCTCTATGATCAGCTCCAGCACCGCGAGACAGAAGCAAAGTGTATCCTGAAAATTGCGTGGTGACAGACGACCCATGATGACACTCCCTTCTACCAGACTGCCTGCGCAGAAAATGCTTGTTCAATGCAGATTGAAGTCATGCTGGGCACTGAGCTCGGCATTCATTTGGCACTTGCCAGACCGGCGGAGCCTTCCAGTATGCTGTTCCGAAGCATAGGAGGCATAGCAACATAGCAGCACAGAATGACAGTTGCACAGAACCGAATGATGGCCCTCTACGCCTATGCAGGTTGGAAATGCACAGGTGGGAATGCCCTGGTTTGAAAACTCCTACAAAAGGCTAGGACTCGAGAATAAGTTAATGTTCGCGAGGGTGGCCACTGCAGAAGAATTAAGCTGAGTTGCTCATCGCGTCCTGCAGCGATTTCACGAGCCAGGCTCTCAGCGTAGTCAAGCAACATCTGCTCGGCCTTGAATACGTCCTGCAACACACCACACCGCTGGAAAGCAGAGCCAAGTGTGTCTTGGAGGTGGGCAGGAACTTGATGCAGCCAAAGTTCCACTGGCGCTCTCGTGGCCTCCACATGTTCATGGGTGCTCTTCGCCCGCAGCTGGAACGCTGTAAAGTGCGAGAGTAAGCCCTCACGTAGTCCCGCTGGAGGATTGGTCCTCGAAGCCCGAGTCTCCTGATATCGAGTGCCTAAAGCACCGGAGAAGTCCTTGGCTTCGAGATGGCACCGAGTCGAGGGACCTAGATGCTCCAGCTGCAAAGGTTGTCACCCTGTAAAGCCGAGAAACAAAATCTTCTGACTCATTGGCAAGTTCTCCCATGGGCACCACGCATGGGGCCATGACTTATGCGGGATCAAGCGTCAGGCAGTGCGTCAGTTAAGTGAGGCTTAGGGCCGATGTGGACTATGATCCTGAGCGGTACTCTGTTCTTCCCGTCCGGTATGTTTGCATATGCGCATTGCCGCGACTCTAAGGGCCAAAAGCGTCCATGTCAAGTTCTTGTGCTTTCTGGTTCTCCATCAAGCTCCATCAACCGGAGGCAGAGGCTCGGAGGAGTTGGTGCCAGAAGTCCTCCAAGCGGAGCACGTCAGGCGGTCCAAGGGAGGGGGGCTGGTCCCTCGAAGGCAAGCGCATGGGGCCTTCGTGAAAGTTGGACTGTGGCCGCGACCGCGAACAGACTGCGACCAGGGCCCTCGCGAGACTCTCCACGGCCGTGGCCACCAGGATTTCCAATTCCTCCCACATCCGACATGGAAGCTTCGGAAGCTTGCATGCTGGTCGCCCGCCCACGCTCAAGGCCTGGTGCGTTCACGCGATTCAAGTCCTCGACGAAAGGTCGGTAGAGATGGCACTTGCCTGTCAGTGGAGCCATTCATTGGCTCGTTCCTTTTGCCAATCTCGATGCCTCGAGGCATCCCACGCACAGCGCTTCGAACGGTCACAGGTAGAAGGCCTGCAAGTGATTGAACCCGCTACAAGCTATCGCTGCTTCTAGTGAATGCACATGACATCAGTGTAGTGCCTGGTGGTTGTTTTCTGTTGTGCATTGTTGTCTGGGGGGTCCTTCGTCCTAACCTTCAGCTTGTTTCCGGCTCGCCTTTTGTGGCGGTCGTCAGTCGTTCACAGCTACACTTTCCAACACTTGGAGCAACTCCGACTCTCTCAAACCGACATGTACACAAATAGAGGAACACGCAGATATAATCACAAGATTGAAGGACATCCAACTTGTGCCCCACGCCCTGCGAGGGCCTGGATGCGAGAAACAACGTCGCCTTGGCCAAAGTCGTTTCTGACCGATCTGCAGGCGGCAAAGACAGGCGGAGCCTGCTGCATTGCAAACAAGGGGCGGCTGGGAGAGCAGCACCAGTTGGCTGGCTCGGCACACTTTTGGCCTGCATTTCACATGGCAATGGCACAAATTGCAGGCAATCTCCGCGAGCCAGGCCCTAAGCATTCTCTCAACCTTCTACAGGCTGCAAACACACTTGGCTTCGAATGCCTTCCTAGATGCAAGAGCCGCCACTACTCGCGTCGACTGCTCCGGGTCGTCCCTGATGAACGAAGGCTCTCCGCCCCTTTACAATCTTCTCGATGAGGCCGCGCGGCCGCGCAGATCACACGAGAGACCACGTTGCTTGCAAATCGGAAAGCTGGCTTTTCGTAAACTTCGCCATGCTCAGGAAGTTACAGTATTCCCGGTCAGACGTAGTGCATGTCGGACAAACGCTCCGGCTTTGTGCTGAAGCGGTGGTTCTCTCTTTCTCTAGGCTCATGGCGTAACTAGAAACCCCTTTGTGAAGCTGTGGCTGTGTGAAGCTGTTCTCTTCAGGATGCACGTGTAGATCGGTTCAGCTCGAAGCTCGCCAGATCTCGCAGGTGCAACTTTACTACAAGTTGTTGGTCGGCGACGCCGATATTTTGATGACGGGATCCGCCCAGGATCCAGGCACGAAGCTCGTTCTCTTTGTGTCTCTCTCCGTCGCCTCTTGTTATGTTTCTTCCTCAGCATTGTGCGCAGGGAGAGTGCTCAACGCCCTCTAGACTCTAGACGAAGCATGACGTCGGGAGTGACTGAATCAACATGGATGCCTCTTAAACTCCTGTGAGATGGCCTCTGCTGGTCGTCCTCGACAGCGAGAATTCCTGAGCAGATTTTGTATTGGAGGCGGCAACACAACGCTACATGTCAACCTGGCAGCAGACAGTGACCCTGAGCGGCTGGGACCAAAGCCCCAGTCAAGTAGATGAGGAGAATGAATGCCGAGCCTTAACTGCTCAAGATTCTTGCCTTGTTCCTGTCGAGCAGCAATGCGAAACGCTGGAGATTGTCAGCAGCCAGGATCAGACACCATCAGCCAGCATCTCAGTTCAGTACAATTCGAAGTTGGGTCGCTTGGCAGGTGGCCGGCGTTGAAAGCGAGCCCGCGACTCCGAACCCTGGCTGCAAATGCAGAGATGAGGACAAGAGTCTTGAATGATGGGCTTCACATCCGCAAAGTAACTTTGGACTTGCCTCTTGGGCTGATTGCTGCTGTCCAGCTTGCGTATCTGGAAAATCGAAAGGAAACTCCGGCCTGGAGATGCAGAAGAGACAATCTGATAAACTTCGTCCGGGACGTCCGCTCTTCAGGGTCTGGCAAAGCTGCATCAGAGAGCAGCGAGTGGCGATCACGCACACCGATGGCTCGACAGCCGGCAAAGTAGCACCGCAACCTGGGCTTGCGCGGCAATCCTGCCATCCGGCAGCATCAGTGTATCACATGTGGTGGCCTGCATGCATCTACAAGCCACAGCTTCTAGCGCACTCGATTCTGCGGTCTTGGAAGCTGGCCACAGCTTGTGGCAAGCACCTGGCACCAATGTCGCACGATGGGCCATTGTCTGCGGGCGTTTCGACGCAGACAATCGATTTCCAGTTGTGCTTTACTTCTCGGTCAAGATAGCATGATGTCTCGAAACATGTCATGACGATGCTCCTGTCAATACCCTGTCGAATGCGATGCAAGGGTTTTTTGTTCCGCAAGAGCCGGTCTGCCGGTGCCAGAAAATGTCGAATGAAGAAATGATGGACGCTTGGCCCGACTTGGTGAAACACACGAGACGTACCTCCCGCGCAGAGAGTAAGTGAAATCAATCCAGAGACCTATCTTCCAGCATCTTCCAGCTGAACATGGAAGAGATGGTAGCCTGACCGCAGAGAGAGGGGGAGAGAGAGAGCAAGACAGCGAGAGAGAGAGAGAGAAAGAGAAGAGGGAGGTGGGAGAGTGAGTGGGAGAGAGCGCGGAAAGAGAGGAGAGCGGAGAGAGAGCCAGGGTGCACACTGAAGTTCCCCTGCTCCTGTCACGGACACATAAAGCACAAAGCCGATCAAAGCTGGCCATCATTCCCTTCACCAGGTCTCTCTGAAAAGCCCCGAGGGCTGTGTTTCCTTGGGGTCGGTTTGAACTAAGGAACTAAACCACACGCGAACCTTGGGTTCGCCCGGAAAATAATTTGTGCATCTCTGATCCTCCTTAGGAGCCTTCAAAACAAGCCAGTGCTGGCAACATCAGCATGAAGCTGTAAATCTTTGAAAGCCTGACGAAAAGCTTACGCGGCATCAGACCAGGCTAAACATGTAGCATTCATGCGGCACGATCTAGAATGCCACAGACTGAGTGGTGAAACATTTCACGACCAAGTCCTCGCAGGTGCTCACCTTCCCCTGTATGCCCGAAGTGATAAATTCAGGCGCAGACAGCAACTCAGCCAAATCTGCAGGCGTTTTGCCGCGACGGTTCCGGATGTCTACTCTCGCCCCAGCAGCAAGGAGTACCGCCGCTGCTTCGAAGGAACCACACAGTATGCTGCACATCAAAGGGGTTGCACCCGAATGGTGGTACGCATACATGGTGGTCGGAGTAGCGCGCCACAGATGCATGGCGCTCAGAACTGCAAATGCTATGCTAATTGGACTCCGCAGAGGGAAGGCCAGGGGCTTGTCGATGTCAGCATCCGCTTCGATCAGTGCAGCAACAACTTCTGCTGAAGCGGCGCCGAACAAGATTGACGAGTGAAGAGCTCTGGAAACTTCGGCGCGCGGAGCATCTTGCAGCAGTGCCCTGATGACGTCCACGGACCCTTCTCCTCCCGCGACACAGAATACAATGCCATTAACTTCCGCTTCGGGGGAAGTTAGATCGGTTTGTTTGCAAAACAGCATGTGGGTCGATGACTCTTGCATCGGACAAGACTGTGTTTACAGGGTGGTTGGACAAGGACTACTTGACGATGGTCCAGAGCAGTAGAAGTAGGTACCAGGATATCGAATCAGATAGTTTCGTCACACACTCTCAGGCACCATAAGGCCACAACTATGAGCGACACAACATACTCTCTAATTTCTGCTAGCAGTCCAGGCTCCGCATGGCTCGGTTCATCCAATGGATCGGCACTCACTGATGTGATAGCGCATCAACTAACTCTTTCTAATAACCTCGCCTTCTTGACTGAGACGTCTGACCTGAACATGCTCGACTAACCTAGCTGTTGTTGATACAATTCGTGGTTTATTTCCCGGAGGCCTGCAAAAGCATGCGGGCCAAAAATCCCTTCAACGGTCTGAGCTACACTTAGATGCCCTGCAGATTAGCTTGTTGCTGCAGTGCGGGCCTCCACCAGCGCCTCCAGACAAGGCCAGCGATGAGAGGTGCAGGCTGTTTTGTATTGTGGTGCTGCCTCCAGCAGCACGCAAAATGTCAACGGCGTCCATGTTTTTGCTTGCACATGCATAGTGCATTGCTGTGGATCCGGTCTTGTCTCTGGCATTCACGTCTGCCCGATGCTCCAGTAGAACTCGAATGGCTTCACTATGCCGGAAAACAACCGCAATGGTGAGCACGGAAGTGCCGGCCGTTAGGGCTAGGTTCTTCTCCCCCTTATGGATGCTATCATTTGGAGATGCCTGTAGTTCAAGCAAGGCTGAAATGATCAAGGGGTTTCCTCCTAATGCCGCGTAGCATAGTGGTGTCCACCCGCTCTCCACTCGCCTCTCGGCGTCCTCAAAGCCTGCTTCATGCAGATATTCGTCGAGGAAAAACTTACTTGGGTCGAGCTCTTGGCTTCTGAAACCTGGCACGAGGTCGCGGATGGGTTCGACAGGGCTGCCGCGAAAATGCACATGCTGCAGATTCAAGAGCATGCGATAATTGTGAAAATCGCCTGCGACCAAGTAAGACACCAGCCTGTTTTTGATCAGGCTCTGAACGACACCCACAATGCGTGCCCTATCTGCATCCAGGGTGAACACGCCCTCAAAGACGGGCTCTCTGAGGTATTCATACGGTACGGTAAGAGTTTGGTGCTTTCCGCTGCGTACCTCAATCAAACACGATGCGCCGTGCAGTTTCAGTTGGCTTGCCAGCCTCTCAAGCCTGCACCAACCTCGCATGCCCCAGCTTGACTTCGATAGCAACAGATCCTTCTTGCTGTGTCGAATCTGCGGACACAAAATGAAGAAATAATTGCAACTCTCAACGTAGGCCGGAATGCTGTCAATGGCTTTCTGCTGCTCTTCCATAACGTGCATGGCACCCGCTTGCGGACAGGAGCAGTAATCATACCAAACGAAAAGCGGTCGAGCCCTCATCTCGCTTGTGAAGACACCCGGCTGCTTGCCGAAAAGTATATTTGTATTGATGTCAACGGGAATGCTGGTAGCATCGAACAGCAGGGCCTTCAAAGCTGCTTGCAGCACCTTTAGTTGCTCGCCTGTTGGATCCGGATGGGCCTCACCTGCCCACTCGTGCGACACAAAAATCGCATTCCCCAGGTCACTGGTAAACCGAACGAGCCCCCCTTCTGCCTTCAGCTCCTCATGTTTCTTGAACTTGGTCATCTTGAACAAGACATCCGTGAGGATCACATACATTGGAAAAGTTACCGGTATCCGGCCCGTTGCCAACAGTTGCCTTGAAGCTCCTCTGCTCTCAGACTTGAGGGCATCGGCAAAGTGTGCCAGAGGGGTGTCGTCTCTTCCGAGTCGGCCACAACAAGCCGGGCGCATGGTCATGCGCTCCGAACTGCTTGAGCAGCACCGGCTCCAAAGAAACAGATCGCTGTGATCAAGGTTGTTAGCATATTCGAAGGCGGAGACTGTCGCTTCCCCACGAAGGGACACATGGATACGCAATGAGAAATATGCCATGAATTTGCAAGGCCGCAGGAGCAGAACAGAGCTGGGCACCTGCCGGAAGGATCACGTCCACACCGGCAGCACAGTCAGCTATCCTGCCACCGCCACGGAACACCAACAACACATCGAGTCCATCCTGGCGCAAGGCAGGCTCCACACTCGCGCAAGCTCGATGCAGCGACTTACGTGAACGGCGCGAAGGGTCGCTGCCTGCATCGAGCAGGTCTCCCAGAGGGGGCCTGTGGGAAATTCCCAACGTGGTCCCCAAGTTGCTTTCTGTGCTGAGCTTCGGGCACTGCTGCACCTGCTCTGGCCAGCGAGCGAGCCTCAGCTTGGCCTAGCGGCTAGGCTAGTGCCTTTGGTGGGATTACTGCGGCTACTCGAAAGCCTCACCCAATTGCTGATCCAAGAAGGAGAAGCGATCGCTGTGCTCTGCACACGACGCCGTCTCACATGAACCAGGCAACCGACCAGGCAACCGGCCGAACGCAGCCAGTCAAAGACCGGGGCAGCGGCCACTCGCTTCCCTGGTCTCCTTGATTCGGATGCCTGACTCGGATTGTGTCGAGGCTTCCTCAAACAATGTGCATAGGGGTGCCTGCCAGCTGCACGCCCAGCCGTCTTGCCTAACACCCACACCCTGCCCCCTACATCTGCATGTAAAGTGAGAAACCTGGGATGTCGGCACTGGTTTAGGAACGACTCCTGAAGTGCATACGCAAGCCGTCTGCAAAGCTAACATTGCACCATAACGCCACATTTTCTTCGGTCGCACTTCGCCGCACAGACAATTCGCGAGACAACGACCAACTGCGAACACCAAATCGTAAGCATTGGCTATGCGGCCTCAATGCACATGCCGGTGTGTGCGGGGTTTAGGTTGGCTGCATTTGGGGTCCTTAAATATACAGCAGCGAATGATGTCCGTTCGGGCACGGTACAAAGCCCCGCAGCGCATTGCATGGCACAAGCCTCTAACTGGATGGCCAGCACTGCGCCGTGGGGTGGAACCACCCGCGCACCGCCACAAGCCGAAGAAACCTTCAGGTGAATGTGGCGCGACGAAGCCGTTCAAATACGCAGCACCGTGCTGCCTGTCGCCACAATCTTGAAGCGGCAGAGTCTCGACACACCTACGCATGCGGCATGGAGCCGGACTTGCCAAACCACGGGCTTGAAAATTTTGACTGAACCATCTGCCCTCCCACTCGACCTCTGGTGGAAGGACGCGGACAAGCACCTGTCAGCGACTCAGAAACAGCTCCGATGGCAGAACCCAACAGGCAGAAGAGCTCCGCTGCAGTTTGTTTTTCCAAAAGGCCTCCAAAGCTTTCGGTCCAGACAGCTCCAAAAACCCAAGGCCCGGCATCGCAGTGACGAAAGGCCTCTGGGGGTGCATTTTGGGGACAAAAGCATGACCTGTACATCAAAGTGCCAACTAACAGTGGAGTTTAGGCGGTGTCCGGGAAAGTGCACGGACCTTCAAGCTACGCCTTCACACCCGAGCCCTATAAACCCTAACGATTGGGGCTGGATTGGGAGAGTCCACGCAATTGGAATAGTCACCTCCAAAGCCGGGGTCCCCGACTTGCTGCCACTGGGTGTGCCAGCAGCTTGCTGAGCCGCCTTCGGGCAAATACGCAGTAGCTTGTGAGTTGGACCCCCCGGATTCGCCCACGATTCGACTGAGAGCGCGGCCAAGCTGAGGTTGGAGAGCGCCTACAAAGAGTGCCGAGAAAAGCGGCGGTTCATGGCTTGCAAAAATGCAAAAGGGCAAGCCCAAAAGAACCAGGCCTCGTCAACGGCCGATGGATGCACCCACACCCACATCTTGCAGCCTTCAACCTGGTCCTGCTTGCTGTCCTCATCATTTGACATGTTGATGTCCAGTTGCGGGGCTGTCTCCTTCCCGACATCAACGACGAACGGCAACATCTCCTCTTCGCTGCTGGGTTCCTTCGTTGCTTGTCGCTTGGTGCACAATGATGGGCACCACAACATCAACACCGGAGCGACGAGCTGGTCTGTGTCGCATGCATATAGCATCGAGCGAAATCTACGGCTTCCACTTCGCGCAGTTGCACTGAGAGTCAAGCGCTTCTGGACCCCACAGCGACTCAAGATCTGTACGATAGAATCTTCGGACCCGAAGATCTCAATAAGCTGCATGTAGCTCCGATCGTGCATGCAACAATGCCGAGACATGGCTCGGTATAGAGCGCGGACCCCAAGACCACAGTTGTGGGTGGCCAGGCGATGGTTCCAAAGGTTTTCCATGCGTGCTCGCTTGGCATGCCATATGTGGGTCTGAAGGTACTTCTGCGAGGTGCCTGCAAGCGGCGGCACCCCAAAAGCATGTGCCTTCAATAAAATGGCAGGGCGCCGCCAGTGCTTCCGCACACGGACACGTCTGTTACCGGTTCCGGGCTCCTCTTCGGCAGCGAGCACCGCTGCAGAATTGCTTGTCGTGGCTATGGATCGGTATCTGTTCCTCTTGCGTCGCACAACCCGTGCGTCTGCCATAACTGGAGCGCGACATCGCAACAAACCGAAGGGCCGCCAACTTCTCGCGCGTCGCCGAAGATGTCTTGGCACAGCGTCAGCATGGTCCAATGACTCGACGAGCTTGCCCGCATCATGCGCACGCTCTGCCACAAAGTCCTCGATCAGAACAGCCGCTGGCGGCACCTCTCCTTGATATGTGTTCCGAGCCGTGTACCGCTTATATGTTGCTGGTTTCGACGCAGACGCCATAACCAACGACTCTCATCCAACCAGAAGTACACCATGCCAATCACGCCAATCTACAAATAAAGTTGTTGCCATGGCGGGGTTTGGCAACACTCAAACCGCCAGCTTTCTTCGACCACAACACATGACATTTCGTGTCTTGTCTGCTTCTGTCATGCTGACGCCGTTTCCTGTCCTTTCTTTTCTGACTGGCTTGTAGGTCATTGCGATGTCCGTTGTTCCCCTCAACACTCGCGACAACTCCGAGCCCAAGTCCAAGCTGCACGGATCGCGCGATCTGCATAAAAGATTTGAAATCGCGCTGGTGTCTGTGCGTCGGAGAATTTATAAGCACACAGCTCTGACTGAAATAGCTCCGGGATTCTGTTCTTGAGGCGCTTGACCGTGCAAACGTGACAACCCTCTGCTGCGCTCTCTTTGCTCTTCCTGTGCCTCTCTTTGTCTTGCCTCGTCTCCGTGCTTGCATGGGTCTGCCTGTCGGCTATGCGGCGAACTGGGGCTCGTAGGCGGACACCGTTCGCGCGTTGTTGCTGGGGCACCAGCCGACCTTTAAATGCTAGATGCTTCGGCGATCGTCCCGCCGCCCCCGTGGCCACCTTAAACCAGGTTTATTTGGTTGCCGGGATCGTGGATTCTTAACCGCAAAGATTCCTGTCTCCACGTACGAACCGTATGGGCACGCACTAGGACACATACAACCATGTAATTGTTTTCAAGTAGGGCAAGTATGGACTGCGAGAGATCTTTACTAAGCCGTGGACGAGTCTGATACTTTACGGTTGTATGTGATTACTGTTGTATTTCACCTAGTGAAGGCCTTCACTGCCGTCAGACGACTTCCAAGGTTCGGAAACCAGTAACAGCAACTCGACACGCGGTTGTTCTGTTCGGTTCTGCATGAATTTACTTGGAGACGACATAACGGTCATCCTTGGATCACCCGTGTCCGATGCATGCGGGCCTTTAGTCCACCGCTGTCACGAAGGTGGCAAGGTCTCCGCAATCGATTTTCTTCGGAAGTGGACTTCGGGTTTTCGTATCTCTGAAAGCAAAGGAAAATCAGTCAGAGGTGCATGTCGTGGTCTGCAGAGCACAACCATGAATCTTGACTGGATCGGAACTTCTGCCAACATGGCCACGGTACAATATGGTGCAACCAAGGGTGTCCGCAGAATCGACAACGGTGGACGCATGGTCGATTATATGATGCGAGATGTATAAGATTGTAGAAGGTTGTCGTTGCGCACACTCACGTGCATCATGACAAGGCGCAGTCCCTCACACAAGCAACACGTCAGGAGCCGGACGCATCGCAAACAAGTGCATCCGAGGAGTACGAAGAAGACGATCCCATATCTACGAGGAAGACAATGACATGTCACTGAATATCACTGAATTTCAGGTCAACCGAAACAGAAACCGGAACTGATCAATACAAGAGAACAGCTTCCTGTGACACAGGAAGCAACGCATGCAATCTTTTCCGGCAGACAAGCACACGGTGGGTCCCGGCATCTGGGGGTTAAAATCCTTTACGTCATGCTCTAAGACAAGAAAAGATGACCATCTCCCTCCGACTCACTTTTAGTATGAGACAAGAGCCCCTGTCCACAAGAACTCCTTGACCTTTTGGTAAGTCTCTAGCTCCTCTGGACAGGATTCCCGGGAGCTCGCTACTAGCAATTACCCCTCCTCCACCCAGTCTCAAACACGAACAAGAAACAGGGGAGCTCCTCTGCATCGTCATCG